CATATATACAGTGCGTTTCAAAAGTATAAAGCCACCCATGAAAACTAACTTTCCGAGTTAAGGTGAGTATTTCATGGCTTGCCATAAACTTTATTGAATTCAGCGTGTTTGGAAACCATTGTTCTCTTTATTTCAGGAAGCAAAATGATTCACATACATTTTTATAAGAAGATTTCCAAATATCCCCTGTTTCAAAAGTATAAAGCCACTTGCAACATAACTCTATTTTTCCAGAGAAAAATGATCGCAAATCCGTTAATTATTAGTAACTACGCGGACTGTCCTTTTTTTGTAGAAGTGGACTATTAAAGACCATTTGCGCCATACTGATGGCCGTGGAGCTTCAGAAAGTATAGCGGATTCCAGGGTTGGTTAGGAAACGGCCTCGAAGTGGCTGATCTGATGGGTTGTGATGTTGATGTCATGATCATGATAAACCCACAGCGGCTATATAAACACCGATCGAGCACACTCAGTCTCATTCTACATGGTGCTGCCGGGCAGCGGAGGGGGGGGGGGGGGGAGAGGGGTAGAGGGAAGGGGGCAAGAAAGGGGAGGCTGGAAGGGAGGGAGGGGGAGAGAGAAAGAGGGAGGGAAGGGGAGAGGAGAAAGGGAGGAGAACATGGCGCTGCCATGCGCCGGAGAGAAGGGGTATAAGGAGGTATAACACATTCAATAGTGAGGTGGTTAATGGAGTACGTCATGCTGCTATTCCGTGGTTCCTCCCTACCCTGTGATGCGCGCGATAGCGGAACAATAGCAACCACGGAACCTGGTACAATAATAATATGTACTCGAACTATGCAGAAGAATCATTCATGCGCGAGAGCGAATGAAAAATTGGTAGGGATCCAAGACTAGGCGGTTTGATATGAGAGGCAGTCCTGAGAAGAAAACCATGCAACAGATTCAAGGTACGGTATGTCTCGTTCGGTACTTTTTTACAGCTTATATTTTTGTTGACAGAGCGATTTCATCCGAAAGCCCCACATATCGTTTACCAAGACCTCTCTACCGCTCCTCTACCGAACGTTCTTTTTCGTCAATTTTACCATCATGAACATCAATTTTATTATACTTCGGGTTATGTCTTCAGAGGCAGAGGATACGATAAAGTTGGTCGCCGTGAGAAAATAAAATGGCAAATGGTGTGTTGGTACAAGTGCATGGAGAGCGCCCTGAAAGTCGTGGTATGGAACCCCTTTATGCGTAAGGCAGAATTTACGATGAAAAGTTAGCTCATTGGAAATAAGGGTAGAGGTGGTCAGTGGAGCAGGGATGAAGAAGAAACCATTTGAAACGGCCCGAAACCCGAGAAATGGACCCCTTCCTTGCCCGTTGATTTGCGCATTGATGCGACTCATCACTGTGCCCTCTTCAACACTACGCTTAGGTCTTTCGCTACTAATCGCGTCGGTCAGCACCTCTCAGGAGGTCCGCCTGTCTCCCAACTGTTTGCAATTTTCCCTTCTTTGACTTCGTTCTTATCGTTAATTTCTCCTTTAAGAAGAGCGTCCATCAGTGAGGTAAGCTTTTGAGTGTCGGGTTTTGATTTGTTTAGACTACAGCCACAAATAAAGCAAAATCAAACCACTGTTGTTTATTATGTTTCAAAAAATGGAAAAATTGTTATCAAGGCCTTAGATATTTGTGGGAAGTTTCAGATGTTCATTATTTAGGGCTTAGATATTTATTTGTAGGAATTCTAGATTATTGATTGAACTGCCTTTAGAAAGCTGCTTAGAAGTAGAAGGATTTTAAACTCACCATAGAGGCTGCGCTTCTTTAGCATCGCTCCCCAGAAAGGTGCCAATGCGCATTGAGCTGAACCTGTGGCGGGGTCTTCCGTAATTCCCACCCACGGTGCGAAATATCGACAAACGTAGTCATACGGTTCAGCTTCTGAGTCTACAAATCCCTGGAATAGTTATCAGTTACGGTTTCGTAGTATTGTAGTGAGAAACGAGACATTATTCATAGAGCACAACAAAATTACTCGGTGTTTAGAAATAAGTAGAATATGCTGCAGGCCGTAGTTCTCAAAAAACGGTCAGGATTTTTTCTGCGCGATAGAAAAAAGCTGATATTCTGTGGCTGCGCGGCCATGAAAATCTCCACGGGCAAAACAGTGAAGTAGGAACAGAAGAACAGGGACGGGCCTTCGACAGGCCTGTCAGAAAAAAGATGATAATCACATGACACAGTAATCTATGGTCTTCACCCTCTGTTTCAGAAAACCAAGAGAGCGTCGAGTACAGAACACACACCACAACTGACGACGGCATCCAATAATACGGTAATTAATGATTCTAGCGATAGTTGGTAAATGAGGGTTGTACATAAGTGTGTTACGTACATTAGTGACAACCGAAGGATTCAACTACAATGGGCTAATCATTTCATTGGCAGAAAATGTTTT